TTAATCGTAATTTATTAATTAGAAATAACCCGTTAACTTTCATAGTGCGGCCGCGGCCAATGAGGAGCGCATGCGCTGCATCGGTGAATTCAGCTAATACGTATACCGTTAAATAATTTCGCGCCTTTATCACGGCTGTTTAGTTCAAAATGAACAGGGATTTCATATTTAATCCCCGGGGGACGGGGGTACTCCCAGAAAAGTTGGATGGGGCTGTGCGGCCTACTTCCCAAAATCCTTACCCTATTTATGACCAAAATCTGTGATTTTTGCTACTCTTTTTATGACCTGGCCAAAAAAGGGACCTGGTCAAAAATCGATACCCTATTTATGCCCGTTGCGGCTACCACAGTTGTCCTAAACACAAGTTATGAAGGGCTTTGGTTGACGGTCTAAATGATAATGATAAAAAAGTAGCTTCTTCTAAGAAACATACCCAATTCAGGACTAGAGTGCTAAAACCGAACTCTATTTAAGACCAAAACAGCCAAAATCGATCCCCATTTATGACCAAAACGGCTGAAAAACCCTCCCTTTGGGGCCGCACATACCTATATAGCCCAGTACTCTCCCCACCTTCCCCGGGATTTAATTTGATCCTCCTGGGCAAACTGTAACGGTGCGGTGACAAAACCTGTCCATAAAATATCAAGAGGAAACTAAAATATAAAAAGAAACATATCTTTTGTTTTCAAAGCAATGAGAAATGAGTCCTTTATTGTAGTCAGAGGTTTTATTTAAATATTTACTTTTTCTGCTCCCGTCTGCTCCGAATATTACTGATGCTTATATTACGTATTTGTTTAAACCTGTTTTCGATCGGACAAACATTCCAGTTGGCGAAATTGTATTTTAACGTTCAGGTAAGTCCGGTAATTTATTGTTATTATTGGTTTTCTTTACCTAGTCACTTGCTTTAATTTGAATAGCTAATAAAAATAGTTATTTGATAGCAAATTACTATCGAGCATGGTGAGTTCCGGGTGAGTCCTTCCTGACCATTTTGGTACTAAAACTGGTTTAGTCATCCTTCATTAAAATTTGTATAATATGGCATATAAAAATACTAACATTGCCAGGAACGTTTACACCAAACTCGGCTTTTTGGCCCCGGTATTCGTGTTGGTTTGACAAGAGAGTATTCATTTAGTAAAGTTCAGTTGTCATACAAACTCCTTTGTTCGCAAACCGTATCATAGAATGGTTTAGTCCAGGAACATTGACGGGAGACCATAAGTTCTTAAACATAAGGTCAAATAAAAGACAAAGTCAAATGTTAAATTGATAAATGTCAGAGAAATTCATTTCAAAATCCACTTACTGAACCGTGCGTTTCTCTAACCCCTGCGATTCCCTATATACTTTTATCATTAGTTGAACGAAAATCCTGTCATGCTTTATACGTCTACCATAGTTTAAACTCTGAGACGCGCAAATTTACGTTTCTTTTCTACAGTTACAAGTGGTACACCCTGCTGGAATAGAGGCTAGTCGACTGCTTGCTATTTACCTATACATTATGCTATGGCAAATATGGTAAGTGTCTCTATGAAGTCACATAAATAGGAAAAGAGATAGAATGTTCCCAAAAGAACTCTCGAAGCCCACGACAGTTGAATGAGTAACTGGGTGAAAGCAGAAACAAAGGGAAGAAAAGAAGGAAGAAAGGAAGTAAGGAGCCTATGAGGTGAATAATGATATAAGAACACTAGTCTTCTCATCACCGTTATTTGCGTTATTTCGCTGCTCTTTTATTTTGCGTTTAACGGCAACATTTTGGCACGCGCTTGACGTTTATGATGCAAGGATCACGATAAGCATGACGATTTGTTGGTTGGTGTAGTCGCAAACGTTTTCTGCTTCTGGCTTCCAGTTGAGGAAGCGAAGCTACGAGTAGCTCAAAATGTGGAAAAGTATTCGGTTAAGGGCTTTACAGGCTGGGAGAAGCGTTGCCTCCAGACCTGAATAATGGCAGTCATTTAACGGATTGTAACTAAATCAAACATTGTTCCAATACCTGCAATGAAACGAATATATCTGCCAAAACATTGGAATTAAAATTGCAACTCTGAAACAAGATACTCATGACAGGCCATGCTGCTGTCGGAGGTGACCAGCCGAGAATATTTACTTCAGTAGCATGGGAGTGGTGCGTGGTTGATTGATTCATGTTTATTTTTGTGTTTACTTCCTTTTCAAAGCGAGCGCGAAGAAACAATCAGATGTGGCTAAAAAAAGAACAATTTACTATATCTGGGACTGGATCCTCAAATGGACTCGTGACAAAAATCGATCTTCACGTGGAAACTACTGACAAGAAGGACTACTCCAGAACCAGTTTCAACTACTAAGCAAGGCAAAGTCTCTCCCAGTCACTCCAAATTACCTGGTCAGAAAAGTATTGGAAATCCAGTTAGCATTCCAAGTCAAGTAAGTCCTACCAAGGGAAGTCTGCCTGTCCAAAAGGTTCCTACGGAAACTAATAATGCAGGTCCAACGGTTCCTGGAGTTATCCCTGGTCAGGCAACTACGCCGTCGTCACCGGCACCATCGTCACCAAAGAAAGGGAAGTCTTTTCAAGTCACCCAAAGCCACCAACAACTCAAGAACAAAATCTCAACAAAAATCCATCAGTCTCGACTCAGGCAGTAAGTACACCTACCCAGACGAAAACTTCAAAAGTAAACTGGCTTCCAAGTCCAGAAACGTTTGAAGCATCTCCAACTCCAACTACCATTTTCAAATCTTCCTTAACAAGCTATGTGTCACCGTCTGCTTCAACGGGTGCGAGCGCTGCAACACCCACTCCCTTAGTTCAATCCAGTAAAATAGTGCCGACAAAGGTTACGTCTACCTCGCCAAACCCTACTGTGCCGACACAAAAGGCTCCAAATCCTGGTGTGAACGCTCCAACTTCAACTCCCTCTGTTCACTCAAGTAAGATGCAGCCATCAGCAATTACAAAGAACACAGAAGCCACGTCTAGCTCACCAACTTCTCCCTTATCAGCACAAAAGGCTTCAAATCATGTTACAAAGCCTTCCCAAAGCCAGGATGTGACTCCGCATGGTCCAGTTACACCTAGAATCGCGGACACACCAACCAACCAGCTGGTATCCAGTCTTTTGTTAGCAACAAGTCGTATTTAATCACGCGCCCAGATATTTCAAAAGCTGAGTCCTTTTGTGATAAATTTGGGAAATCTATCCAAAGCAAGCTCAAAAATGCCAGAAATTCCGTAAAATTTGGATTTTAGGTTTTTTTGTTAGACTCAATATGAATAGAACGCCTTCCAAACTAAAATGTGGCATTCCAATTTGGAACAATTCCGAAGGGTACTGGTATTTG